GCTTGTTAGGCAACCATGCGGGGACTTTAGGTTTCCGACAATTCGCGCATGTGAAGAATTGACAAAAATTAGACCTTCCTTAATGCCCATTCACACCATTCGGTCTCGTTTGCAAGGATCTCTTGTTTGAATTCATTAACCGCAGGATAAATTGCCAGTTTACATCTTGTGAAGGTATGGCATTTGAGCCAATCGGTGAATGAAGATGAGAGTACATATGTTGGTGCCTCGCAATTCTCGCACTTCTTGGGCAATTAAGGCATGCTGAGGGGATTTTGAATTGTTTTTTTTATGTGGTGTAATGTAGGGGAAATGAGTGACATGAGTGGCATGAGCAAAGAACATGCACGTTATTCGACCACCGAGCAGACATTTTCAGTGATGGACTTGCATGGCGGTCAGGTGCAAACCAAATTAAAGCGCTGCTTGATGTGAAGGAGCTGTTGTTGAGGTGAAACTAAGGCTCACATTGGAGAGATTCCTGCCCTCTGGGTGTCAAGATCTTTAATATCTACTATGTTGGAGAAGAAAAAATAAAAGAGCTTGCCAGTTAATTAAAGTGAGGTGGAGAACTTGAATGAAAAGATGCATGAGACCTGCGACAACGATTCCAATGAAGAATTTATGCCTATTGGTGGTGCAGTAGCAATATAGTTCCATTAGCAATGGGTACAGGAAGGTGGGAAGTAATGTAAGAGTAGTGACATTGGCGGTAGACGATTGGTGAATCAGTGGCGCCTATTTGTTCGCACCTGACACTCGTCAACTTAGCAGCGGGCAGTAAGGGAGTATCTCTTGCAATAGAGCAAAGTTACAAATGTAAACCTGACTGTAGGCTGTAGAAGTAATAAGGCAAAAGACATGGTTTTATCAATATGGTCCCATTGTAAGAAGGAAAGACTGTTTTCCAGGCCTACGCGACTTGAATATTCTCGGGGTTCGAAGAGTGTTGCGCTGCCTATTCAGCTCTCTCGGGACTGTTTTGGTGGATATGACCAATTTATTTGTCTTTTGGTAGAATAGCCAGTGGCTTTTAGGGACGGCAAAACTAGTCATCCAGAGACCCTTCCGTCAATGGTGCTACTACTCAAGTGAGAGTGGATAAGAGGTATGCAGAACCTTTGTCACCATCCACGCTCCTTATCACCTGATGGGTGCAAAGGTTTCCACATTCTTGCCAAATATTCATAATAATTAAACGTAATGCTTTTGTCATTCGATTTGCAATTTTAGTGTATTTTATTTTCCGTGCGACACTGTGTGATGCATAGGCATTGAAATAATTTGCTGTCAGGAATACAACAGTTCCTTCTTCATTTGTTGTATTTGCTGGTGTCTTAACAAACCCCTACTAATTTATTTGTCATATCATGTGCTTTTACAGACAGTCGAAACAACAGCCAAACTCAGTACACAATGTTGCATTCTGTGCGGCTTCTAGTTTGATCCCATTTTGGCTTTATTTGGGCATTTGCTAGAAGTGGGGCAGCGATTCACGCCTTCCAGAGTCACCTATTCAGAGGTCAAATTGTCACTCTTGCCTTGTAAACACGCGTCTTGCCAACATAGTGTGTCACACTGTTGGCATAGCATCGAACTCTTTACAAAAGCACCAAACCTAAAAAAGAAAACATTTAAACCCTAATAGAAATTTTGTTTTTGTCTTCAGTACATTTTTTTCACAAATTCGTGCCTGATTTGCTGAATAAATGAAAAAATCTTTCCCAAGTCCAACTATCCAATACGAATGGTCTCCCCTCTATCCCTTCTCCCCTTCCATAAAAAACATCCCGGAACAAAATTTAGAAATTTTTGTAGTGTGAACTTTTTCTTCTTGGTTTTTTAAAAAACATTTACACTCACCTACATTTACAGGTATTTTGGGCTTTGCCATTCAACTAT